CGGTATGTTTTATCTGATCACCGAAGCTTGTGCGCCGTTAAAAACATACATAGATGAGAGCAAATTGATTGGCAAACAGAAGAATTATGTGGTTTCATGGGGCCTTTTTCAGCTTATGGTACTTTTTATATTTTTTTTAGTTTTTTCACTAGACACAGCTAGCATAAGTCTTGGGAACATTTTACGTTTGCTTATAAAGAAATCGCATTTATCACTTCTTAAAGAAGTCGCATTTATCACATAATGATTTATTACTTTTTGTTAAATATGTTTTGGAAATTATTGAAAAATTTTGAAAAATGTAAACTGTGGATGTTTGTTTGGCGCTATAGGACACAGTCGAATATTATCAATTGTGGGAAAACAGTGAGTGCTAATTCAAATACCCAGATAAGCAAGCCTGTATGTGTATTAGCTGTTGTCCGAAAAGTATAGATGAAGGAAGAAAGAAAGGATGTGGAGGTGACTGTGCGTAAACTGTTAAGAGATATAAATGAAAGTAAAACTAACATGCAGCAGATACATCTCCGTCTTCGTTTTTTTTTGCCCGTGGTTCAGTTGATAGTGCCATCTTAGTAGTTCGAGTGGCCTCCTCCTGTCGGTGTAGGTTTTAGGAATCAAGTTTTGTAAAAAGCCATCGCATCATCATTATCATGCAACACCCGTTATCTCCTGTTTAATCTTTGGACATCCTACCCTCTTTAGAGTTATGCAGTCTCTTTGATACACGCTCAGATGGGTAGAACCCCATCTGTGCTCTGCATTTTTACTTGTCCTGTAGCATAGGGTAGTTTTCATGTTGTCTTAGTTACTCAGTTTGCTTTTTTTATTAGTTATTGAAGTTAATTCTACGCTGCTTTCTACCTCAGTGATTTTCCTGTTCGGTCGGTCACTGCGTTTCCTCCACGTGGTCACATTTACGTTTGCTGTGCACGCCTGTGCGGTTGTATTCGTGACTTGTTCCTTTGTATGAATTAATTTTTGACCCTTTCGCATGAAAATTTATATTTTTTTTGAAAAAAAAGCCAATTTTTCAGAATTGCTTAAAATTTCTGCATCAAGAAGCGAAATTAAGCCATGAAAATGTTCGGCATTCCGTTTATGTTACAGAAGGTGGTGATTGGAAACTTGGTGGTTTTGAGAAATCAACACCATTCACGTAATACTTTTAATTTCGCTTTGTCTACATAACACTAAAGAATGTATTTGCTGTGCTTGAGAGGCGAAAGCAGTCAAAATTAATGGCATCCAATGCCAACAGCAACTTTTGCCTGGCTAGGCTGTCGATGACTTCCTCTTTCGAAGAGTTACAAGCAAGCTGATGACGGATATTTCAGTAATCCACGTAACGACTTAAATTCGTTGGCTCTACTGATGTGGGAAATTTTTAATGGTTTCAATGAATCGCTTACTGAACGGCAATTGCCCAAAAACATTCCTCGTCAATTGATCGTACCGTACAAAAAATTGGCATCTTCGCAAGCATCAAAATTGGATGTTGGAGATTTATTAAAAGGTTTATTCATATCATTTTTCTAGAATTCCCCTGTAGTTTTCGTTCGCCAACGGAATATATACTGTTTCATCCCAAATTTAGCCTCTTTTGAGTGGTTTGGCTATCGGCAGCTGAGTGGAAATTTTCATCTGTGGTCCATATTTGGGGCCAAGAAAAAAGGAATATTTGATCCTTTCTTCCATATTATCCTAAAAAGTGCTACTAGCATACGGGTGAGTAATTCAAAAAAACTATGTTTATATTTTGTCTCTTATTTTTTTTCCTGGGCATATTTCCTTACGAGAACTTCTGAATTTTTCCGTTTTCTTCTGTATTGATAATAAGCCCATCTCTTTCTAACTGAAAAGTACCAATTGCATTGCATAAATTAGATTAGCCTGCCGGGGAGAACTCGCGAAAAGCCAGCCAAGAAGCCACCAGAAAGAAAAAAGAAAGGAAGGCATATCCTGCTTGCAAAGACAGATACACAGTAGATGTGCTGCCAAACTGGACCCTGGGCTACTAGGGCCGGTGGTGTGGTGGTAGTGCGTTGCGTCCGGACGCGAAGAGGAGTGGTTCGATTCCGTCTTGGTCCAGGGTGATTTTTGAGAAGGGGTTCCGTTCACAGCTTAGGCTTTTTTTTGTTATTCCGCTAAAGCTTTCTTTAAGACTCTCGCGCCGGCCTCCTATTTACACTATAAATTAATGTGCTTGCCAGAGAAGTATCCTTTTTATCTGCGTGCCTGTGTTCTGATGACTGTAAAATTGTATATGTATTCTCTTTAATGAATGGAAAAAAAATCACATTTTAAGTATTAGTTCAGTCTTTTTTCTCTAAGATCGAAGATCATTACGTAACTTGGAGTTGCTTATTTTCAGAGCTTCGGCGTACGGATGGTTTTTTCAAGAATCGTTACGTTGATACATTGCTGTTTTTGGATGAATTTCAACTGAAGGATGCGCATGAGAAGCAGATATTTTTTACGAAATTGAAGGATGATTTGGAAATTTTCCCGAGCAACATTGCGAAGTATCGAATTCTTCCGAAAGTGATACATGTTAGTACCGAAACATGGTAATAACACATTGCAGCGAGGAGTGGTGTCGGAACATTAGTTTTGCTTTAGTTATCTGATAACGATCTTTGGTCAATAGTGGACATTTTCCTCTAATGGCGAATTCTGGGCTCAACTCGAGTTCCAATAGATTTGTCGAATGCAGCTTAGGGATGAAACACAGACAGCCAGTTTCACATTTAGCTTCCTTACATGTCCTCCTTACATCTTCTTAACTTTTTATAATATACATATGCGTTTCACAATCTATTTCATTTCCTCTTTTCGTGGTCACACGACGATCCACTCGATCCATTCATTCCTCTGACGCACAAATATATGAATGTGAACGTAATAGAATGTAAAGGAAAGGCGATAGAAGCCCAGCCAAAATTGGTCATGCCGAGCAGGGCTGACAAGAAAGTTGGAGCTGCAAAGTGGTGTTTTGCGGCCGTAAGTAGGCCGAAGCTTACTTTGTAAAGTAGTGAAGCATGCTAATCGAAGGAAATCCAGAATGGCTGAATAGCTTGTGATTTAAGACGAACGTAACTCCGAAACCAAAGCAGCTAGAATGCTAAAATTTTCTGAAGGCAGCCCAGGTTCGTACCTGGACAGGCGCATGCAGGAATGACGTTCATGCTCCTCACGCCACTTCGCAACCAAAGCAGCTAGTGTGCTCATCTTTTGTTCAATTTTTGTACAGTAATTGTGAGAAAAAAAGCAAAAATCACATTTCTCAGTTTAATGCCTGGATCTACTTATTTAGCAACAATTACTTATAACTGCACGTATTAGCAACAGCAATTCTGCGGAAAATAATGAAAAAATTCTCTATGATATTTTTGTTTTGCATAATTTTATGAATAATTTTTTTCAGAGTTATGAATATGGAGATGCTGGTTCGTTCGTGCTCGTGCCACTTTTTCAACTGGGACATCTTCTTGATGAGGAGGAGTATCAGCGTCGTGTTGTGCCTTGCCTATGTAAACTGTTCAGTTCACCGGATCGAGTAACACGGGTTAAACTGCTTGAGCATATCGATGAAATTGCTCCTCATTTAACACCACAAATTGTTAATGAAAAGATTTATGGGTTGGTTTTTAGATTTTTTTTTTTTTGTTTCATTTTGGATTGATTTATTTGAAGGAAAAAGTAGCCTGTTGTGCTGTGATTACTTCGGAATCATTGGCGAATCCAGAGCGGGGGAGGCGCGCGAGGAGTCCGTCTCCCTCCCCCGCCTCCCTCCCCCCTCTCCTTCCCCCTTTCCCGCCCCGTCCCCCTCCAGGAGCTCAGTCTACAATGCTAAAAGTGAAGAAAATAATCGTTGGCATCATTGGTCCTCCCTCGCCCCATCCCCAGGAAACCGCCCTGGATCCGCCTATGTTCGAAATCGAGCTTAATCCCAAATTCTATGCAGTATTTTTTTTATAGAAATCTTTCGTCTGGTTTTGCGGATACCAGCCCGGTGGTACGAGAAAGCACAATCAAAGCTATCGTGTCGTTGGCCGATAAGCTGAATAATAGCAATTTGAATACCGATTTGATGCGACATTTAGCACGATTACAAGGTAATTTCGTACAGTATGATCTGAACATGACTATGATCATCTATGGATAACCAGTCTCGAAATGGAGATTTTTTAAGATCGTGGTTTTTTGAGGTTTTTAAAATCCCAAAATGATCGTGATTTAAAGTACTTTTCAAATTCTGACCGATTCTAGATTCTTTTAAGCAAAGCTAGGTATTACGGCAACTAATCTAAAACAGTCCTGTTTGAAAGGGGTTTTTCAGACTGTTTCGAAAAACCCCCTTCTAATTTTTCATTTTCGAACCAAAAACATTTGCGAGAGATCTAATTGAAGTAATACAGTGAAAATTATTGGCTCACCAGTGGAACTGGTGATGGTTTTTTCTGTTCATGAGTTTCCTAAACGTAAACTGGCGATCGGTCTGACCGCTGAACTTCGTCATTGTGACGGTTATGGTGTTGTGAACGGGAGGGGAAGGAAAATA